AGTGAATGGCTTTAATTTCTTATTAATGTTAGCATGCGTATATTATATTCNCTTTTCTATAGCCAGCTTGAAAAATTTTATACTATTCGTTGGCATTCTTGAACTAGCAGCAATAGGATCGTCCATGATCAAATTTCTTACGGTAGAATTTAAACTTCTTTTTCATATATTTTTATTTAACAGACTTTGTCTCATAAGATCAATTCCAAATATTCTAGGCCATTTATAGATTAAACTAAGATATAGCTTTTATAATTGTTAATGATATTGTTTATATCGAGCTTGTACTGCATTAAAATGATTATCTTTGACAAATTTGAGGCTTATTTGTGATGCTTTGCTTTACAAACTATTTAAACAGTTTTAATTGAAGGTACAGTTCGGTAACTATGTATATTTAGTCAAGGTATCTTGCAATAGTAAATTTACCTTGCTGTTCTTGCTAATAGTATAGGTCTCAATAATACATAATTAATGTCACATTGCCACAACCAAGGTTATGACACAAAGGAATAATATGAAATACGTAAGTGCGCTTTTCCTTTATTGATCTAGCAAATCTACCACGTAGCTATTGATTATAACTACCCTTCTAATACTTCTTTCAGTCCTGATATTATTGGTACTACTCTATTATTCCACGGATAATTCTTTGATCAACGCGTGCAACTTTACATTTAACTAGCTATTATAGCTCAATTCAGCATCATTCAACTAGTCAATTACTCAAATCGGTACTATTTATTTATTTATTTATGAATAATCCCTAATACACAGGACTTACATTTTTCACTTAATAAACAAATTATGCGATATAAATCTGTTATTGTCACACACATACTGTATATTCGAGTCTGTGAACAACGGTACAATGTTTACTTGCACTTCTTAAAATATGTCGATCGTAAAATATTGATGGTTATTAAGAAGGGTACTATTAATTATTTTGAAATATATCACTAACCAGTATCATCAGATAAACCCACAAATCATCTTGTTCCATACAAAACAAGAAGTCATGAATTTCGTCTGTGTACTTTGATGATACCTATACTATGTAATCACACTATTAAGGTATTATAAACCAACTTATATTTCAGTTTGATGAGATATCCAGCTGATTTTAACTCGTAAATAGTCATTTTAAAAACAACGTGCTGATTCTAAAATATAATATCGTAATGTTTATTCGTAAAAATTTTATTCTACCATTCTTCTTCGTATTCATAATTATTGACGTAAACTAAGTATAATATTTTATTTTATACGTCATAATCAACTTTTAGATAGAAAAATAAAATATGTAATAGTTAAAGATCGTTTTAATTTAATTCCATTGCTGTCATCCATGACGGTTATCGAATAAGCCTTCACACAATTCGTTTATTTGGTTCTCTTTTGTATCTCATGTATTGTAATGAAGGCTTTTAAATGTATTAAGACTTCGTGGATGAATTAATTCTTTATATATTAATACATACTTTAGGATAATGTATAATTTATACGATAAAAATACATAGCAATATGTCTAAGCGACAACAGAATAGTTAGTTCTATTCACGAATAACTCGGTAAACTCTAACGAGACGGCATCATGTCTAATTTTCTAAATCATTCTAAATCATTATAAATATTAAAAATGAACCCTACTGCAGCATCGTGATAAGTGATGATAATTTCAACCGATACTTAGTATCTTCCTTTA